GACCGCTGCGCTGTCACCGAAACTCTACCTCAAGCGTAGACCCAAACTGCCACGGTCTCCGTATGCTCATGTTGCACAGCATCTTGCACAAATGAGACTCATCGTGTAGCATGCAGCGATATGTCACTGTGCACAAGCAAGAGCAACTCTCATTCTGCGTGCATTCCGCTTGTCGTCGAGGGCATATCTCGCCGACATTTACTCGCATAGCTTGAAGGACAGCTTGGCATGAAGCGTCCTAAGCCCGGCATGGGGTCATGGCTCAAGCTGCATAGCTGGAGCTGGGTATTTTCTCAAGCATGCAGAGAATTCCCGCATTGATGGTAAATGATGTCACGCATGGGCTGCATAGCCGAATGACGGAACAGCGTCGATTCCGAAATCACAATGGTCCGCGGTGGGCACACACCGAGGCTTGCATTTGAAAGCTCCCGCACTTCGATCGCTTTTTGGTGTTGAACTCATGCCATCCAGAGTCATATGCTCGGATCTCAAGTCGATGGAAAACACACCGAACAGGCGGGATGCATAAAGGCAGGTGCATCTGCCAGGATCTCGAATCGCGTCGAAATCGCTCTCCCACACTTAAGATGGGTACCTGCTTCGTCCCTCACCAAGTGGAGGTATCTCGTTTGTTTGTGCCTTGCACAAAGTTTGGCTTCGGGATCAGGACCCCATTGGCCGGCCACTTCATTAATGGCCTCTTCCTCCTCGGTCAAGGAGGCCTCTTCTTCATCTTCCGATCCATCCGACGAATTGGACGACACTGCCTCGGCTTCTACCTCAGGCACTTGACCCTGCTGCGGTGGTGGCTGCACTGGCACGGATCCTGCAGCTCCCAGTCCTTGGGCTACCATTCCACTACGTGTGGAGTCAGGCTTAAACTCGCCTCTAGCTATCTTGTCAAGGACCGAGTCCAAAACCCTGAGCGGGACTGCTAAAGCGTCTCTAGAGTAGATAATCAAAGATTTGTCCTTTCTGGGAACGTGATATCCCAGAGTGCGCCTTACTGAGGCTGACTCTCCATGCTTCGAGAGCCACGACAAGGCAGTGCACTTGCACGAGTGTGTTGCAACCTTGACCTCTTGCGCCTGCTATTGGGTCGGAGGGATCAAAGACCTGGACCTAAGCCACGCGCCGGCTGTCCCGACCTTCAAGGGCACCTCAGTCCATCCTCCGCCAGAAGCGGGAGAGGGAAGCATGGGATGTGCGTCGTCGAGACCCTCGGAAGCCCTAAGCTCCATCCACTTCCTGACCCAAGGCTTGCCGCTCACCGACTTGAGGGGGACTGCAATTGGCAGAGCACGGATTTTCCTCTCCAATGAAATGCTAGTTTTCGTTCTCTCGGCCTGGCCTTCCAAGTATCCAACTTCTGACCCAATAACAAGCCTGTTGGCGCGCTGCATGTCAGAGAATCGCAAATGACCATAGGTCATTAGGAGGAAACATCCTGAGGCTATTCGGTCTGCAGCCTTCTTGGCATCGTTCCACACAATGCCCTCAAGAAAGATTACCTGCAACACAGTCAAGGCAGGCCGCCTTTTAACGGCACAACGGGCGGAGTAATGGGCATTAGCCAGACCCTTGATCCTCCCACTATCCAGGGATTCAAGAACAACCAAACAAAGGTGCTTTGCAAAACTGACAGAAATCAAAAGAGATCTGAAGTACGTCGGGGCCGAGTTCGGCACGGCCTTCATGTAGTCGTACATCTGTCCTTCTTTGACTGGCAGGCACACGACGTCCCTGGCCTTCCAAAAGTGCACGTACCTGGCCAACGGACCTGCCCGCTGGTGCAAGGTTGAAGTAGCCCTATCCGCAAGGCAGTCACTGATGCTTTCGATAAGACCCCCTGTGGCAAACTGCGGATGGTAGGGACCAAGGGCTTGTTTAGCTACACCCCAAGCATTAAAGTCAGATGCAACTAGCG